CATCACAGCTGATAGCCGCGGGCGAAAAGGTCGCCTCCTTGACCTTGATCGATTCACCGCCACCCAACAACGGCTTGGACTGCCTGCCAGACAGGTTTTACGAACATTGTACAAAGGTCGGCATCTTCGCCAACGAGATGCGCCGGGGCGCCGATGATGCCCCGCCGCCCGACTGGCTGATGCCGCACTTCCGTGCCTCGACGCAGTTGCTCAATGATTACTATGCCCCTCCGCTGTCGCCTTCTGGTGCAAAAGGACTGCAGGTCAACATCATATGGGCGGGCGAGTGTGCATTTGACGGTATTCGCTACCCGAAGATGCCCCCGCCAAAGGAGGGGGAGGTGGACGTGGAAGACATGAAGTTCCTCACGGAACGCAGGAAGGATTTCGGGCCTGGGAAATGGGCTGAGCTATTCCCTGGGGCGAACATCACTAGTGGAGTTGTGGAGGGTGAACATCACTTTAGCATGATGCGCGGAGAGGGCGCTGAGAGACTGGTGGAACTCGTGAGAGATGGTTTGAGGAAAGCATCTTCTGCATGAATCAACTTCATGTTTTCATTTGTTGGCGTTTAGGTCATGTCATAGCGTCGGCTAACTTCATGGCGTTGGCGTTGGGCATCGGCATCGGTTCGGATTGGAGTTTCTTTTTCTTTTTCGTACTACCCAGATTGCAGCTATCATCATAGAACATCAATTACAGCAGATAGAACACTCCGTATGCAAACATTCTTACATATCTGATGCTGAAGATTCATTAGTTTCACAACGTGATCCCCACGACCAGGGAGTAAACATCTGAGGAACAAGACACAGAGTTCCAGAGGCGGGGGCCAACAGTAGCTCTCATCTTTCCAAGAACGGAGAATTACGTCCGTCAGCAGATTACTAAATCACCGGTCGGTTTCATCTCTGTTCGTATTGAAGGCAAATAAGCGAGATCTCCGGGACGCTGCCGATGATGTGCCTGCCAAGATGTCTACCTTAGGGGACCCCGTCACCGGCCTTCAGCCCCGAGCCCCGCCGACAATCGGCGATCTTCAAAAAATGGAGTTCACTGAAGAACGGAGTCTATTGGAAAACGGAGTCTACCGGACATTTGGCATGTTGCGAGTTTCAAATGGCGGCTAAGAGTTGAAAGCCTGTCCATTTGCTTGTCCCACGTGGCGCCGGAAGCTTCGCACAACACATTGAATTCACTTTTCCTCGGAGGGCTTTTCCGTCACACACCCAGTACGGCAACTGATCGCCAAAGAGGACATAATAGGGAAAGATTCCAACCATAGGATAACGTGAACATGTCAAAAGTATGCTGATGTCGTCTGATTGACGTTGCACGGCGGCCTTGCCGTGGCACAGAGAGAAAAACAGGCCTAACATGGCTGTCTTCCCACACAAAAGTTCGTTTGCATTAACCTTGGGACAAAATGGCCGGACAAACGGGTTTTAGTTATCATCGAGATGGTTTTATGGTTACCACAAGGTTGATGAAAGCCTATTCAATAGTGACAGTTGACAATCACGGTTCAATTCCAATGCTAGTTGTATGTGAATGCAGTGCTATCCATGTATTTCCAGTGAATGTTGTCCAAGTACAATAGTGAACTCCGAGATGTCGGCAACATCATAGTTCCTCCTGCAAGGCACCTCCCTGAGGCAGCTTGAAACCACCCGGAACCTGAATCTGAAAAACCTGCTTAGGATCATACTTTTTGCTTGTGGCAATCAGCTGCTCCAATGTGCTGGGACTGCGACGAAGAAGCGGGTTCTGCCAGCTTTCAGCGTAGGTTGCCTGCAGGTAGCTGCGGTAGACGCCCATCTCCTTCGCCTTGCGCTCGGCACCTTCAATCAGGTCCTGAACCGCCTGCTCAATGGTGTCATCGCTAGACCCCTCATTGCCATCGACAGAAACTGCCAGGTGGATGTAGATGAGGTTGCCTTCCGTCTGGATGGGGCCCATTGAGTCAGAAGCCCCACGGCGCTCAGCCATGACGGACGGAATTGGCTGGTAGGCCATGGCAACTGAGAAGCCATCAAGATCCAGGTAACGTTGGAAGGCTTTGTCGGCCATCTGAAAGAACTCCTCCATCATTTCCTCAGAAGGCGCGAAGCTGATGGTGGCGAACAGCCATCTCTTTGGGTATGTTGCCAAGGCGGCGTATTCGCGAGAGACGGATGTCACATTGTCAACGCGAAGGGTGTTGGTCGGGCCACCTGGGAACAGCGGCTTCTGCGCAATGTTGAGGAACGGCTTGAAGACAGCAGGCTCGATAACAGGTGGGTCGCTCTTGGTATACTGCAAGCTGCTGCCAATGAACCAGCTCCTCGTGGCGTTGCTGAGAACGAGGTTGTTGATGTAGTGCACGTAGGGGTCGTATGACTGCATCGACGCAAGGTCCGCGTGTGCCTTGAAATGCTCCTTGCGGGTTGAGATGTCGTGGAATGTCTGGCCTCCCCAGAACTTGCCCTGAGGGAAGGTTTGCATGGTGATGGCCGTGACGACGCCGAAGTTGTTTGCGCCGCCTCTGAGGGCTTTCCACAAGTCCCTGTTCTCTCGCTCGTTCGCGTGGACGATATCGCCGCTGGCAAGAACGACCTCGAAGTCCTCAACCACGTCGCAAATGAAGCCATAGCGAGGAGAGAAGAATGAAGTGCCGCAGCCGAGGACCGCACCGCCCACACCAACACCGGCGACACGGGCGCCGAGGGTGCTAAGATCGTACGGGTCAAGTTGCTCAGTGACCTGATCCCAAGTCTGACTGGGGCTGACGACGATTGTCTTGCGATCCGATGAGATACCAGAGGCCGGAAGACGAGTCAGGTCGATCAAGACTCCGCCGTCGATGCTTGCGGCGCCCTTGTAGGGAGTATGCCCGCCACCGCGAATGGCAAACTGGCATTGGTTCTTGCGCAGCTCAAAGCCCCGAGTGAGAGATCTCACTGCAATTGAGACATCATTAGATGACTCGGGAATCACGATGCAGGCTGGGTGAGTCTCGGCGTTCTTGAGACTGAAGTACGAGCCGACCGATGAGGTGTAAGCTGTGTCGCGGGGTATCACCGCATTGTGGCTGCCCATCAACTTAACCAGTGCTTCGCACTTTGATATAATTAGTAAATGAATTGTAGAGAGCTAGTTGATTCGAAGACTTACGCATGATGTCGAAGATGCAACCGCGTCATCCACTGCTGCACTGCCAGGGGCAGAGTTCAGACTCCCCAGGAGGATCTGATTGCTGGATGCCAGCTTCGAGAGGTTGAGCACCCACTGTTGGAGACCTGCGCCGAACATGGTTCAAAATCTTAAAATTCTAGAGCAATATGGCAAATTGCGAAATTGAACTTTGATGGGATGGACATTAATGAGTTCTAGAGACAGCGGATCATGCGTCAACAAAAGTACTGGGCGATTACACGAGTCGGCAAGATGAGGTGTTGTCGAATCGCCGAAAGTTTCGCACGTTTCCCTAAGTTTGGGCGGTTACCGCACCCCGGGAAAGCACTACGGCGAACGAACAGCACCCTGTAACGGACAATCATGACCATTCACCGGTGCCATTAGCGCTGGAGACATGCTGGTCTATCCGCAGGTTCATAATAGAGCAGGCGAAGACATCTGAACCTAGGTTGAAGCTTTGTCGGAATCGTCTACTCCAAGAACATTTCACAAACATCATTCGCCAAAATGCCTGGTCGTACTACTACCGATATTCACAAAGTCGCGGTGGTTGGGGTAAGCCCTAGGCCATCCATGTCTATAGGGAGTGTACGCTGACAACATGGGCAGAAAGGATATGTTGGAGGATACGTCTACGACAAACTCGTCGACGCCGGCTTCGACGTGACAGTCCTCTCTCGCTCGAACCCAAACAACAAGGCCAACGTCCGGGTTGTAGACTACGAATCCACCAAAAGCCTAACAGAGGCGCTGGAGGGCCAAGATGCCGTCGTCTCAACCATCTCGATGGCAGGCTGGCCGCACCAGTACAAGCTGATTGATGCCGCAGTCGCCGCAGGCACCGTTAAGCACTTCATCCCCAGTGACTTCACCGCACTATCCACCAACCCACAAGTTGCCCATCTGCCGTACTACAGAGACGCGGTCGGCATCCAGGACTACCTGCATAAAAAAGCAGAGAACGCAGAAATGAAGTGGACCGTCGTTCAGACCGGCCCCATTATCGGCTGCGTGCTGAACGGAGCATATGCATACAACTTCCAAGACCGGACTGCGCTGCAAGTCGGCGGCGAGAGCAACAGCGGCCACAAAGTCAGCATGACGCGGGGCTACACCATTGGAAAAGCAGTCGTCTCCATCTTTGGCAAGACGAAGGAGATGAAGAGCGGGCCTATTCACATCCACGATGTTGTGACGTCGCAGCAAGATATTCTCAGGATTGCGGAAGAGAAGTCCGGCGCGAAGTGGTCGGTCTCTCATGTCGACGCCGAGGCCAAGCTTCAGGAAGGGTTGGGCATGTTCAAGGCAGCTGGAGATAACCCACCTCCCATCTTCGCGACGTTTCTGGTCATCCACTATACCATTTTTGGTGGAAAATACAAGACCGACTGGGACGGAAAGGGTAATAAGGCTCTGGGTATTCCAACTTTGGCGAGGGAGGAGTGGGAGGGTTTGATTGCGCAGAGGGTTCGCAACGAGCCTATTGATGGTGGGCTTCCGTGGAACTCTGCACCCAAGCCAAGGAAGTAAAATCCTACAACCTGTGTGCTAGAGCAAACCACTGCATAAAGTCACTGAAAATAAAGAGACGGTTCATGTCTAAAGCCATATTGTGTTGCTCTGGTCAAAACGTTCTAGCCAATTAGAAACGATGAAATGACGATACTGTGAGACAACTGAAGAAAGAGACGCAATCACCAGGCTCAAGAGAAAACGTCTCCTGGACTCCTGATAATGATGTCCATATGATGTCTGCTTATTCAAGTCAAAGATACAAATTTTGGTGTTTTAAATAAATGATTCATACGATGATGCTCTATCTACTAAAAGGGCAGAGCGAACCCGTTCCATTCGCGGTATTCCAGCGGTACCTCCGGAAACTGGTCAATGCCGTCCATCAATACAATACCCATTCCTCCAGCCTGATGGGTCTGCACATGGCAGTGCAGAAGCCAAGCACCCGGATTTTCAACCTGGTATCTTACGACGGTCCAGACAGCAGGTGCATTACCGGCAATGTCTGGTGTGGTGAATGTATCCAGATGAGCCGGGTTTTCGAAGTTGAATGACCCCACCGGAAGGCTTCGCTCAGCTTCTTCCACACTCCTCCAGGGGAACTTCCCGATCCCAGAACCAAGAAAATATACCTTGTTCCCATGCTTGTGAATCGGATGACTTTGAGCAAAAGGGCCTTCGGTCTCCAAGATCATGTCTACCCAACCACCAACTTCCGAGAAGACCACCAGCTCACTATCGGGTGCTTTGGTAGGTCCCCGGAAGAGCATTGGCGGGTCCAGCTCCTCGGCAGTCATGTTGTACAGCTCATGGCCAGACAGACTCCACTCATACGCACCGTGAGGGCGGCCAGGCTTTCTCAAGACCAGCTTGACTGTCCGGTCCGGTCGTCTAGCCGGTCGCCGTTCAGGATATGGCCGACCGTCTTCTGGCTTAAATGAACGGAGTGGGTCGATGAGCGGCTGGCCTGCGTAATTCATCTTTGGCTTTTGGTGTCGCGGTGGGTGAGCAGCGTCGCCATACGCCATCTCGGCGAAGCCCCCCAGGATCTGGTTGAGAAGGTCATTGGCCATACGGATAGTGTACCGCGCAGGCTCCTGGTCGAGCTTTACTAGCACTGACACTCGATTTCCGTTGCCGACGTACACGCGATCAGTAACCACAGGGTGAATATACTGCCCGTCAACGGCATAGACGTGAAGCTCGTGGTTGTCAATGGAAACTTGCAATGGGTAGAGACCTCCGACATTGACGAAGGTCAGCGCCGCCCAGCCCAGCTTCTCATCAACACTGAAAGTAAAGTTGCCTTCCGGGTTTCTTCCTCCAATGCATTCTCTCACAGCCTGTGGTGGAAGCTTCCCAACATCCACATCGTAGTCTCCCTGCAGCGCCTGAATTGGTGGCACGCAGCCCTTTTCCGTCATATGATCCTCTCCAAGGTCTTTCAACATCTTGAGGATGATGGGATTCGTCATGTTATCCAACGTGACGGGGTCCAGGCAGTACTGTGAACCCACGCCATTGACAATTATGGCATCCGTGCAAGCCAAGTCGAAGTTTGCCGTTGTCTCTATGTGGTAAAAGTCGTCAAACTTGTACTGGCTCCAGTCGGCTAGGAGCAGTGGCTGATTTCTCAACTCAGCCGTGCGCATAGCTTGTTCCTCGGATGCATCGCGGCTGATGAGATGAAATGGTCTTTCGGCTTCAGAAGAAGCATGTATGATGATTGCGCCATAGAGACCATCCATCAGCTGACCCTTAGAGTGGGCGTGGTAGAAGAAGGTCCCGGCTTCCTCTGCGATCCATCGGTAGAGATAAGAGGCACCAGGGTGGATCGGGCGTTGTGTAAGTCCCGGAACGCCGTCACTCCAGGGTGTCGTCCGTTGCTCTATCCCATGAAAGTGCATCGTTGTGTCTTCACGGAGGTAGTTCCGAACCAGGAACTCGACTTCATCGCCTTGTTCAAGCCGAAGCATGGGACCCACGAACGTCCCATTGACAAGAATGGCATCTCTGGTGCCCGCGCCGACGACGTCCACCTTCCCAGAGGTGATATGTAATTCGAAGCGGACAGGCTGCCGGGCCACCGACGATTCTTTTGCGCTCTCTAACTGGAGAAGGTCTGGTCGTTGGCACCAGGTAGTAGACCATATGCGCAAAGCGCACGAAAGAAGGGTCATAAGCTGCATGATTGACAGGTCTCAGAAACGAAGCCCCAGAAGTCATCGAGCAAGACTAGCTCGCCACGTGGAGAGTTGGTGGTTCAGGCGATGAAGAGATGAAATTTGGAATAAGGTCCCAGGTGCACGCTCATTTTAGGGATTAGAGTGGTTAAGGGGCAAGCTCTGCGAGACTTTGGGGCGTCGTGGCAGTGGTGACGGCGGCAATCAAACACCGATCAGTGCGTTCCGGCAATCTGCCCACACCCCCACGAGCTTAATCGTAATAATGACCAGACAGCACTGATCGACCTGGCAAGACACCTCTTATTACAGGTAGAGATTCAATCTCTTCCAATATCGTTATTCAGAGGCCACATTCTTTGCAGTATCTTTCGCTGTTCGCTGCGGGCTAAGTCATCAATGCATTCACGAATTCTTTCAGCTCTCGCCATCGTCCCCTGCTTGGTAGCCGGAGAGTCACTGAAACATGTCCTCGCTCGTCATGGGTCACTCACTATGCTCCATGACCTCCTTGTGGAGCTAGACCTGCTGGGCACATTCGAAGCGGTGAAGAACTCGACACTGATAGCGATGAACGACGATGCTTTCGAATATCTCGCCAACTGGGGCATGAACCTGAGCTTAATCGATCCAGAGCTGGCAAGAGGAATCATGAAATACCATTTCCTAGAGGGCTCTTACACTTCGACGAATCCCCTGTTGGAAGTCGAGACGCAGCTGGTTCATTCCGTCCTCCGGCCACCCGTTCTCACAAACATTTCGGACGGTGCCGTGGTCAAACTGACGGCTGCCGATAATGAAAACCCATTTCGGGTGGAATGTGGGATCCAGAAAGTTTTGCCCATCGTCGAAGCCGACATCTTCTACGACTCCGGCGTCTTGCACACCATTAACGAGAACCTCGTCCTTCCGCACAATTTGTCAGAAACGACAAACTTGGGAAATCTTGAAAAGTTCTGGAGCCTCGTCAAAAAGGCTCAAATGAGCGAGTTCTTGGAATCCCTCCGTGACACGACGATTTTGTTGCCAAGCAATGAAGCGATGGAAAAATACAAATTTCACCTTGAATCACTCGCCCCAGAGGACCTCAGGACCACAATCAACAACCACGTAATCCCGAAGCGTGTCCTTTACCATGTGGACTTTGGAGACACTATTAATGAGGTTACAACCATGAGCGGACTCAAGCTAAGACTGAGCCGTGACTCCGCGGGCCGTCTCTTCGTCAACCATGCGCGGGTTTTGAAGCAAGATGTACTCATCTACGGTGGTGTTTCACACGTCTTGGACAATGTGCTTATCACGCAGCTAGGTATGTTTGTAAAAGGGAATACAGCCTAGATATTACAACTAACGTCTTCAATAGGATCATACTTGAGTGTCGAAAGCGATGGGCTTTGGCGGTATGTGGTGTCCTTGCGATGGTACGAGTATCCTTGGAAGAACACAACAGAAGTTATTGTCGGAGCGGCTTTGCTCTTTGTACTCGGTGCTCTGGTTATCCAAAAAGTTGTTCGGTGGAAGGTTTCAACGAACCAACGAGACTTTGGCGGTCGCATCACGAAGGAAGGGGTAGTTGAGGAAACACAATTTAGGTCTTCAGTTGTGTACTACTACGTACCAGTTTAGGCAACACCAGAATCTGGAGCAACACAGAATTTTCAACATTGTATTCAATATCCGGCTTCGTTGTATTGGGTTGACTTGGTCAATAGTAGGTTTCAAGTACCGCAGATGGTTATTGACTGCCAGGATTGTGTTCATGTTAGTTTTCTATTGAACTCCTTGCGTCCCCGAAGATATCCCTGATTCTGGTATTCCTTCAGAGACACATAGTCCTGGTAAGTGTGATGGTGAGCATACCACTAGACATGTGAGAGTAAACACTCATCAGTGGTAAAAAAGACAGATGTCATTCCACCATGCGTGGCAGGCTTCAGTGCTATGTCATCTAGATTGGGAATCCACTGTTGGGAGAGTTGCGCAAATTCATTGGCTGAAGTTTCAAATGGTGCCCCTTTCAGGCACACATAAGTTCATTTGGCCAATAGCATGATAGTTAGCGTATTCCCAATTCAAAGCATCTATTGACTTAGCGACATGAAGAAATTAAGGTTCTCGCAATGGGCGTTCCACGATTTGGATCACGGAAAATCATTTGTCGCTCGGCAACTAGTTTCCGAGAGACTTTCATGCCCAATTGCTTACCTACTCCAACACTCGGAAACCTCTTGGCCACTTGCGATGGGATGAAAGGCTTCCCGAGGCGACGGTGACCATTCGCCGAAGTCTGCGATGTGAAGGTTCTCGAGGAGAAGTGGTGGACTCTCCCCGACTTGCGGTTAGCGGGAGTAGCCAACCAAAATCTGAACATGGATGGCTTTGAGGGCGGTCAGCACGGCAAACCGGAGCCCAGTAGGGACATCGCTCTAGCCCATTCTGATCCTCGTCCAGGGGTAAACCATAGGGAGCGTCTGGCAATGGCGCCATTAATCATCGCCCATGAGAAATCTTGAAGAACTACTACTTCGGCGAAGAAGAGAGAAGGCAGTCTCCGATCACCTCCGATTGATACCGCATCTGACGCATCGCATTCAGTAGGCTCAGCCGTAGCTTGACTTAAGCCGCCTTCCACTCTGAGCAGGGCGTACTGGTTTTAATCTGTACAATCTTTCCGCCTTTACTTCTTTATACAGAACATTTTTGAATACGGTCAAGATGACGTCGACCCAAGAGTCTGTTCCTGTAGATGCGCTCGATCTCGAAGAGGAAGCCGAGTTTGAGACCCGCGTCTTCGAGAAGATCCAAGGAGATGACTTCATCGTGGACTGGAATGGTCCCGATGACAAAGGCAATGCCCAGAATCTCTCTAAGCCGCGAAAGTGGCTCATCACCTGGGTCCTTGCCCTGTATGTCTTATCGACGACCTTCTCTTCCTCCGTCTTCAGCGCTGCAGCGGCAGTAACCGCTAAGGAGTTCGACACTACCGTCCAGACCATGGTGTTTGGCGGTACATCGCTGTTCATGCTCGGATTTGCTGTTGGCCCAATCATCTTTGGGTGAGTAACATCCTCATGTTCTGATCCTGTCTTGAGTACTGAACAGAGGCTAGGCCACTATCTGAGCGCTATGGGCGAAAGGGTCCCCTAGTAATTGGCTACGTCTCTTTTGCTCTCCTCCAGCTTCCCGCAGCCAACGCCCAGAGCCTCTTCACCATCTTCGTGTCTCGTTTTCTCCAGGGAATCTTTGGTGCAGCACCTTCTGCGATCTTGAGCGGCACCCTGGCCGATATCTGGACACCAAAGCAGAGAGGCTTCGCCATGCCATGTACTGGGACCTTTCTCATGATTGGACCGGTGATTGGACCAATGACTGGTTCTGTTATCGTCCAGAGTTCCCTCGGCTGGCGTTGGATTTTCAACTTCACCGCCATCTTTACTCTTGTTATTGCAGCAATCACGTATCCTCTCTTGACGGAGACCTATTCGCCAGTTCTCTTGGCAAAGAGGGCAAGGCGCATGCGCCATATGACACGCAACTGGGCGCTCAGGGCAAGATCAGAGGAACAGGACCGAAATCTCAAGGATGTTGTAGAAAGCTGTCTTTCTCGACCTGCGAAGATGCTTGTCCTAGAGCCCATTCTTCTTCTGATGTCTACATACATCTCTGTGGTGTTCGGTAAGCCATCAACCACGATCTCACATTCGGTTGCATGTGACGATGGCTAATGCTTCATCAGGCCTCATGTATATCTTCTTCCTTGCATACCCCATGTCGTTCGCCAACGAGCGACACTGGGACTCCACCTCGGCTGGCCTTCCCCTTCTTTCCATCCTTCTTGGAACCATCATCGGGGGAGCTCTCATCATCCTCACAGTCAACACAAACATGTCCCCAGATCCCAAGGCTGGCAGGCCGCAGGAGAATAGGCTCCTCCTCATGATGCTCGGTTCCGTCTGCCTGCCTGTCGGAATGTTCTGGTTCGCCGCGACAAGCTCACCAGAGACGAGCGCGACACAGCAGATCATTGCAGGTGTCCCAATCGGCATGGGTATCATTCTGATCAACATGCAAGGAATGAATTATATCGTCGACTGCTACGGGCCATTCTCGAACTCTGCAATCTCAGCGAACACTTTCATGCGGTCGCTTTTCGCGTCCGGCTTTCCCGTCTTCGCGTAAGTCTCCTTCTCACCCGAGTGTTGATGACATTAACATGGGTTGCAAAATTGCAGGACCTCTCTTTACAGCTCAATTGGCGTCGCACGAGCGACGTCATTTTTGGGCCTCTTCGGCGTTGTTCTGGCGCCTATCCCGTTTCTCTTCTTCAAGTATGGGGAGGAGATCCGTTCCAGGAGCAAGTGGGCGCCCTCCTAGTTACCTGCGCTGTATCATTTACGGGGTGGTCAGGGGGGCCAAGCCCATAAACACATGAGCATTTTGGACATTTCAGAATGGGCATTGTAAGTCCATAAACACGGGAATGGTTACACATTGAGGAAATTTTAATCAAGTCCAAGTAAGACCTGGCGTCTTGAGCGACGAAGTCTTCTCGTTTGGTTGCCTCCCAGTGTAGCTGTTCCTCAGATAGGTACGCAATCACAATCAACTAGACCATCTGTCAACCGGGCTCCCGCTCTTGCCACGTCTACCTGTGAATGAAAATGGGATAGTCGTTCGTCGCACCGACTGAAAGAGTGGAATTATTTATGATTCTCAAGCATGCGTACGGAGTTAGTAAAACCGTGACTCGTAATCTGAACACAAATCTGTCACCAAGATCTATCTCATCGCAAGACTGGAACCCCCCCCCCCCCCCCCCCCCCCCCCCCCCCCCCCCCCCCCACNCCGGGACCCCCCCCCCCCCCCCGCCCCCTTCTCAACTGAGCGATACATACTGCAATTTGATAACACAAGAAGAAAAACCACGGAGTAAGTTCAAGAGACGTTTAAGCCAAAAATAAATAAATACTTGATGTGTACCAATTGCTCAATTTGGATCTACCTAAGTTATGTATGCAACATATTCCAATTTCACCACATCCTGTCCAGTATCGTGCACCTATTCGCAGCTCTCGTCCTCCCAGAAGACGAAAAACCTGGTCTCGATACTGCGACGAGCAGGGCCAATGTCATCAGGGGTAGGGAAAGCGCTATGCGGTGTACGGCGCGCTCTTCCGTCCTTCTTAGAATCAAAAATCTTGATCAAAATGACATCGTCCCTGGTCATGCCGCTCCTGAACCACCACTTGTGCTGAGTTGAGCTCTCAGGCGGCGCAATCTGCCACATGTGGTTCTCTGTGGGCTTTCGCGGCCACTGGAAGGGCACGCAGTGCATCGTGTCGTGCAGCTCGTCGTCCCGCACTGACCTGGCATCGCAGAGCGCGAGGGGTTCGCGGTGGACCTGCTCCCAAGGTCTCCAGAGGTTGATGATGGCCCAGCGGTGCTTGCCATCGTGCTTGGCGCCCTCACCGGGGGGCATGTCGTCGTACAGGCGGCGGATGGCGCCGAGGTCAGACTGATCAATGTGCACGAATCTTGCGGACAGAAGACCTCCATCAGTCATGGCCATGTCGGGCTTTTTGGCCTCTTCTTCAGGGTCGGTCTTTTCCCATTGGCGTTGGCGGATGATGTGGGAGATCAAGCGAACGTCAGAAGCCCCGGTGCTGTATGCAGATTAGCGAAGCCGCACAGGGGAAAACCCCTAGGGCTGACTTACATCTTTCTCATGAACTCCTCACACTCCGCATTGTACACCTTGTTGAGGTGCTCGTCGATGGGGCTCCAGGGAAAGTCTTTGTATGACGTAGGAAAGTGTTCGAACTGGAATCCAGTCTTATCGAGACTGAACTCGCTTTCCTTTCCTCTGGCGTTTTGGATGACGACCTCGCGGGGGTCGTACTTGCGTCGCATCTGCGCGAAGGTGCCGCCCCAAATCATCTCGTCTCCGCCCTTTCTGGGGTCGAGGCGGTAGTTGAGCGTCACGGTGTAAGCAGACACATTATGGTTGTCAATGGCATCGAGCTTGGCGCGCTCTTCAGCCTCCTTTTCCTTGTCAACTTCTGCAGTCGCTTTGTACTCGACGGTGTCGCCGGAGACTGTGAGCTTTCTTTGGATATCGGTGTCCAGGAAGGCAAGCTCGTCCTTCGTGGCATAATTGAGCTCAAGGGTAGGCATTGTAGTCTGGTTGGGAGCGCTGGACCGCTGGAAACAGAGAGCTAGGACTGGGTAATCTCAAATGGTAAAACTGCGTCGCGACACGTTGCGGTTGTTGATGATTGACGGTAAATAGTAAATCTGGCTGGTGAAGAAAGGCTCTTTTATTAACATGCTCAGGCCACGAATGCCTCGATTCGCTTGTCGCTGGCGTTGAATATTGTCCCCTAGCGTTCTCCGGTGTAGCAGCTGTATGGCGTTTCGACTGGTTCGGTCGGTGACTGGATGCCGAAGCAGTGTAAGTGAGCTTGAGAGCAGGGATGAGGACACTTGAGTGGAGTGCCGAGTCCTCCAAAGAAGCCGACGAGTGTTGAAGTTTGGCATCAACCACATCGATCCGCATCATTTAGGATGGATCTTGAATGTAGCGTTTTCGACTTTCCTGTCAATTGAAGCCAAAGCATGACGATGATCAAAGAGTCCAGACGTCGGGGTCTTGAACAGGCTTCGTGAAGCCGAAGCCAAGCGGGCTTTTAGGCGAACAGCAGTGCTCCAGCGCCTAGGACGAACCTAGGGCGCTGTTTCCCGTCATTGACAGAACACCAGATCGCCTTTACGTCAAAGTCAACATTCGTTGAACGACGGATGAACGCGATGAGGATGCAACTAGGATTTGAGCAAACTTATGTGAACTATATTAAAATAGTCTACGAAATAACTGCAAACACGTCACACTCCGTTCTGGAAGTTGTAGTTTTCCACCCAACCAACAATGCATCTGTGCACAAACAAATCAGCTCAAGGGCACTGATCGACGAAGAAACCCCTTACCTGCTTCGGCTCATGTCAGCAAAGTTGAAATGATCCGGGATGAACTTTTTCATGAAATCGGGGTCTTCGCGCATTTTCTCAATGCACTCAATATTTGGGACGATCATCGAGATGACGCTGTCGTAGTCCAACAGCATGGCTTCTGGCGCGTTAGGAAACAGGCGCTTGAATGCCGCTTTGGAAGTAGAGTCGTTGTGCGTCTAGGGTGTAGCTGGTCAGTACCTCGAGCCCGCGATCAAATTTGTAAACGGCACCATACCACACTGTAAGAGACCGCGCCGTACTTCTTGAGAAGAGATGTGATGATTGGGCTGTTGACATGCTCTAGGTGGTGGTGATGGCTTTGCTCATCCATGTCTGGCTTTTTGTAGACGTAGATGTTGTACGCCAGCAGGCGGTTGGGTTGTTCATTCGAGCCCATTCTGGCGATTTGGTGGATTGAATTAGGAACGTCTACGACGACAGAATGCCTATGCCAAATAGTAGATTTACACGCGGTCCTCGCGTGTGCAAGATAGATAATATCTGCGATAAGTACTTTGATCGAGAGCGATATTCTGGCAGGCGGAATGAGCCATTGAGTGGTTTTCGTCAAGCTCTTAGTAGTGGTATCGGGGATGTGTTTCCGCTAAAGTTTGCTGTTTACCGGCCTGTCGGCCCTCATTTGAGGACACTGGACAGTGCACAGCGTTTCGGCACCATTGAACCACTTCTGTCCCAGAAGACCTGGCCGCCTCCAGCGTGCTTCGCGGACTCAGCTTGGATCGCAGTCCAGGGTTCGCCGGCCAGGCATTACCGATGAACACGACAAAAGACCAAAGCAAAGACCCCTATATAGTTTAGGCCAAAGACCAACGTCATGTCGTGGTTTTCAAGATGCTTCTTTCATCATCTTCTGTTCGCAAGTTCCCTATTCTCTCTTGCAGATTACACGCCCAAAGAAATTACATTTTGCGATCTCCCCAGTCGTCTCCCACAATGCCCGCCATCGCTGATCACAAGGTCGTCGTCATCACAGGCGCCAACAAGGGCCTGGGCTACCAAGCTGTGAAGACACTTCTCGGCTCTGACAAGAAATACCACATTTTCCTGGGGAGTCGTGACTTCGTCAAGGGACAGGAGGCCGCAGACACGGCGCGCAAGGAGGTTTCTTCCCTCAGCACTGTCGAGCCCCTGCAGCTCGATGTCGAGAGCGATGAGTCCATCCAGAAGGCATATGAAACTGTCGAGAGCAAGTGCGACAGAGTTGATGTGCTCATCAACAACGCTGGTAAGTCATATCTCCTCATCTCCTTACGCCTTGAACTTTGACTAAACTGCCTGTGCTGTTTAGGTGTGATGCTTGACCAGCAAATCGAGCGCGGCAACATGACTGCTCGTGAGGCTTACAACAAATCATGGGACATCAACGTCACTGGACCTCACGTCATTACAACCACTTTCCTACCGCTGTTGCTGAAGTCTTCTGATCCCAGACTCATCTTCAACACCAGCGGTGTATCGTCCTTGGCCAACGCTGCGGACTCGTCCCATTTCACGTACAAGGTGCCCCCTGCTGGTGCACCCAAGCCGGTCGGCACCATCTCCTACAGAGCTGCGAAGGCTGGGTTGAACATGGTTATGCTCGAGTGGGTTAGGATGTTGACAAACGATGGGGTAAAGGTCTGGTGTGTCGCCCCTGGTTTCTTTGCGACGGACATCGGAGAGGGCAACCCGGAGGCGATGAGGAAAATGGGTGCTGGCGATCCCACGGGTGGTGGCAAGGCGCTCGTTGATGTTGTTGAGGGCAAGAGGGATGCGGATGTTGGCAAGGTCTGTAACATGGCGGTATACGGCACACCTGTGCAGGCATGGTAGGAAGCAAAATTACATAGTCTGGTTAGGAATACATGCATGTTCGTCATCATAAGCATCCCACACAATTACTACAATTTGGCATCCATGGTGGTTGACCTGGATCAAGTTAAAGCGTCGGCGGAATCCAGAGGCTACGCGCTTCGGGTCTTGTTCTTGGTTTAGTAGCGATTGATGTGAAGTGTTCTGCGATATCCATACAATTTTTAGGTTCGTGATGCACATGGCTGAGGAAGTCAAATTTTATCGTTGTGTGGATGTCACTATATTTGAGCATCTTGTTTCATTTACACATTCCTTGAGTACGTACCATTTCCATGGGATACCAATGCAGGCTCGTGTTTGTTGTGAGCTTAGGGCCACAGTCTAGCATCACGGTATCATCCACCAATGAAAGGTCATGCATCAAATGAAGTAGGGCTCAATATCATTCTGTTTCATACGTCTAAGAGAATGTGATACGTCTTGGAGAAGCTATTCCTTTTCCTGGCCCTCCCAGAAAACAAGACATCTGATCTCAATGCTCTCACGAGGTGGACCGAAGTCATTCGGGGTTTGAATTGCGGTGTGCGGTGTCCGCCTCGCCCTTCCATCCAACTTTGAGTCGAAACACTTGATCAATAGCGCCTCGTCTGTCGTCATATTGCTCGCATAGTACCACTTATGCTTGGGGCTTGCCTTCATATGCCACTGCTCATTGTCTTTGTTCATGGTGTTGGGGGGCTTTCCAATTACAATGCGGGTAGTGACGGGAACAAGGTCAGACTCGTCAACACTGCGGGCGTCGCAGACAGCGAGAGGCTCACGGTTGACAGGCTTGAGAGGCTGCCAGACATTGATGATACCCCAACGGTTATGTGTCTTGGCACGAAGCATCTCTGCTTCGGGAAGTCTGTCAAGGATGATTTGAGCCCCGTCGTAGGATTGATCTAGACTCTGTCAATTGAGGCGTTCTTTAATTTGCGCGAGGTATGCTTACCGACGTGGACAAACATTGCAGGCGGTTGCATATTCAGCATTGCATCGTCAGGGACATCATCCTCAATGTTGACAATCTTTTGGTGACTGTCACGGCGAATCACATGAGGAGCGAAGGGATGGACGTATGTCGCCCCTGTGCTATGTTGGGCCTCAGCAAGGACTAACTGTTCTGAAGATACATTGGGGCACTACACTTACTGTCGCTTCAGAAGATCTTGGACATCTTTCTGCAGTTGAGGGGGCAGTCCAAATCGATAGTCGCCGTCCCACTGCTTCTCTTGGATCGTGCTCTCAACCCACTGAAAGCCGTGGGTGTCAAGCTTGAAGTCGTCCTCACACGTACGACTGTCGGTGACGTTGACCAATTGCTTATCATACTTCGCCCGCTGGAAGCCTACTGTAGCGATGTATTGGACTGGATACTTTTCGCCCTTGGCTGGTGGCAGGTGACAGTTGACATAGGCCAGCACAGACTCGGAGGTTTTCGTGACGTGTGGCATCGTTGATTTTTGGAAGTATGTATCTCAGAGTGATAGCAAAATTGGACTAGAGGGCTAGGGTACAGGATTGAGGGCAGAGAATGATGATGAAGAAGTTTCAATATATGGAACTTAAACCGAAGACAGTTGTCGGTGATTGTGGTGTCTTTTACCGCGAGACACCCAACATGCCGACCTCTGCTGGGCTGCTGTACCACCGCGGGATAGTGGTTCATAAGCGGCGAAGCTTCAGTAGTAGCTCATCATACACCTATTTTCTTTATTGATTGTCACTTATTAACATTTGCAATATTAGAGCCGGCAGAGAACTTTTCAGAGCGATCAACAAGTGCGCAGAGTCGGCTGATCTAGAGTAGGCCGGTAAAAGTGTTCGGGCAGACAACAGGACTTCGCGGTGTGTCTTGTCACGGTGACCTTTCGCCGGTTGCCGGGCAGAACGTGGACAGTTCGGCTGCAGGAGCCTTGATGAGCGCTGGACAGCGGAAGCAGACTGCTAGACAGAGCTAGAGACCGACCCCCTGGGGTTGGCTTCCAGCAGAAGCCGCCCTCGCTGTCGCCGTCCTTCCCGTCCCAAGTCAGTAAATCAGCGAGCAGACGTCTGAAATTTTCCATCAGCTGGCTAAACCTTAGGCGCCCTGGTCGCTAATCACCGGGCAATTTGGCGTGTTTACCGGTGCTTAATGCTCTGAACAACGCTCTAGCTGTGAATCGGAACTGGGGCAAACTGTAATTAATATGCTCAAGTGACCCGATTTACCTATTGCACAGCACCATGGACGGCTGACTGACTGTGCCAATCGTTATCTGTGATGAAAGATCACGATTTCATAGCCTCCAGATCTCGATGGGCGCTTTCGCAAGGGGAATGCTATTCCCATCACATTCCCCGGTGTCCATAACAATCTCCTGCTAATGTCTGTAAACGTTAAAATCGTGCTTGAATTCTGACTTGACAAGAATGCCGTTCAATTCGAGACGCAAATATCTAAACGTCAACCTGCCTTCCTGAAACTCCTTGGCTTTCAAAGTTTGCCTAATCACGCGACAATATTGTTGTTCACAATCATCTTCAACACACAATCGTCACGATGCACTACGCTCCTAACCTTCCGCAAATTGCCAACCGGTATGCATCTGCTCATGCCAATCCCCAGGGCGCTGGCGACGCGCGGCCTACGGCCCTGCAAATCATCCAAGATGAGGGACTCGTCGGCAAACTAAGCCACAAGGTAGCATTGGTCACTGGAGGGACCAACGGTATTGGCCTTGAGCTTGTGCGCACCTTGGCAAAGACTGGCATGCGAGTCTTCTTCACAGCCCGCGATCCTGTCAAGGGCCAGAAGGTGAAGGAGAAGCTTCAGAGCGAGGACGCTCTCTTTAAGCTTGAGGTCGTCGAGATGGAACTCAAGAGCTTAGAAAGTGTCAAGGCTGGTGCGGAGTTGGTCTTGAGTCAAACCGACAGACTTGACGTCCTCATGAACAATGCAGGCATGTATTTCTTCAGCGCCATGGGAACTCGAGGCTTTCGGACATCACCACTAACATATGCCGATAACATCAGGTATTGCGGCGACACCTCACGGGTTCACGAAAGAAGGCTTCGAACAGCAATTCGGTGTCAACCACGTAGCGCATTTCTACTTGTTCCAACTTCTCAAGCCGCTACTTCTGAACACCGCAGCAACCCACGGCGTGAACATTCGCATCGTTTCGACGGCTAGCACTTCACACACAGCGTCGACGGTGCTCCCCGAGAACAATTATGACACCGCCAATCCCAACGGCAAGGGCTATGAGCCCGGTGTGTCCTATGCCCACTCCAACACAGCCAAGATCTGGTTTTGCAACGAGCTGGAGCGGCGATATGGGTCCAAGGGTCTGCATGCAATTAGCATCCAGCCAGGCGGCTTTACCAGTGGGCTCATGGACTCTTCTGAAGAGCACAGTAAGGTGATGCTGAACAAGATGATCCAAATGCCACACATCAAGAAGATTTGGAAGAGCGTCGAGCAAGGCGCAGCTACGAACACACTTGCAGCTGTCGGCAAGGAGTTTGATGGTGTCGGAGGAATCTACATGGAGGACTGCGGCGTGAGCAAGCCTATCCCGGATGATCTGCATTGGGCGGGTTACGGTTTCAAGTCCTGGGCGTTTGACGAGGCAGGCGAGAAGAAACTATGGATCGATTCTCTTAAAATGGTTGGACTGGAAGACGACCAGTAGATTGTGGTGGCGGGTTCGCAGCTCTTAGACCAACAATAGAAATACTCTTCTCTAAATTCACAACACTATACCAGTACTTCTAGTCTAGATGATATTTGAATAGTCACTGTTAGATTGTTCGACATGTTAGAAGATGTCTTGCCTGCATTGTTATACCGTTCGCTACAATAGAGCAGCAGTTAACATACGTTGAACATGACCATCGTCATGCCATTAACATAGGACTGATTTATACTGCATTCCTCATAATACATAGAACAGGTGCGCAGAATTTAATCAAATCATAAGAGTAAAATTTACCAGTTAATCCGTCTGAAAATTTGCGTCTGGATATTATTGGGCATCAAACCCACCGAGGTCAACTTCTTCAGGCAGCGCATTTGACGAAAGCAGTGGCCGTGTACAGTGCTTTCTCGACAAAGCAAACACTGTCCGGCAACCGTCGCGAAATGGTAGCCGCAGCGCCTCCCGTGCATGCTTCCGAGATCGATCGGATCTTCCGCCCATAGATCGATTATGTACGTGTCATGCAATTTTGACAGCAGTCTGTTAAATCTGTAGGCCTTCTTTAAATGGTATTCTTCTATGTCCCTAAGATAAGTATTGCTTTTTGATTCGTTGATTACTGCAGATCACGTTCTTTCTTTCAATCTTGATCCTCGTTTTCACCAATATCCAGCCATGCCACGTTCTACAAAGTCATCTGGCTCGTACGAGTTGCACGATCGCTCGAAGGAAGCCTCTTCCGTAGCACTGCCATACGAAATATCCTCTTCGGAACAGGTTGGAAAGATCGACAAGGCCGATAAAAATGCCTCGAAAACACAAGCCAGTCCTGGTGGCTGGGGAGAGGATCTTGACGAGTCACAATATCCATCTGGGCTTCAGTTTGCACTCATTATCTTCTCCCTATTCATTTCTGTCTTTATTGTTGCCGTCAGTCAAACTGTTCTCGCCACGGCGATCCCGACCATTACAAGCGCGTTCAACAGTTTCGATGACATCGCATGGTACAGCACAGGCGAGCAGATCACGGCAGTCGCGATGCAACTCCCGTTCGGCCGAGCATATACACTGGCAAATAACAAGTGGACATTTCTGGTATCTGTCATCATCTATCTTGCCGGCAGCGCGATTTGCGGATTTGCGCCTGTGTCCGTCGTTCTCATCATCGGAAGAGTCATCCAGGGCGTGGGTATGGCCGGTGTCTTCGGAGGCTCGTTCATCGTCTTGGCTCGCGTGACTCCGCTCAGGAAGCGGAGCTTGTTCGCTGGTCTCTTTGGAGCGGCGTATGCCATTGCAAGTGTTATTGGTCCAATCATGGGTATGGGTCCTCCTCTCTTGGTCGTTCGATATTATCCAATGCTTACTTGCTGTCTGCCAGGCGGTGCGATGACTACTGGAGCCTCTTGGAGATGGTGCTTCTGGTGTACGTCTTAAACGTCTACGACTTAACTTCAGAAACACACTACTGACGTTCTTAGTCAACCTTCCCATCGGTGCGGTGGTGATTCCGACAATCATCTTCTGTCTGCCTGATTCCTTGGGACGAACATCTGCAACTCTAAAGGACATGACATGGAAAGAGATAATCATGAAGTTCGATCCGCTGGGGACTGGCTTGCTCCTAACTTCTCTTGTCTGCCTGATGTTGGCCTTGCAGTGGGGCGGGGGTGAGTACGCTTGGAGTAATGGTCGTGTTATCGCCGTCTTGGTCGTTTTCGCGGTGACCATCCTGCCTTGGATGGTCCTACAATACTTCCAAGGTGATGATGCTACCGTACCTCTGAGCATTTTGAAGCAGCGATCAGTCGCAGGCTCCAACCTGTACCTGCTCTTTTTGAACGGCGCTTTCGGTGTCTTCATCTTTTTCCTTCCCGTCTGGTATGCGCCTCGAAGCACCCAGCATATACGTTTAACTGACACTTTGCAGGTTTCAGTCTATCAATGGCGACAGCGCCCAGTCATCTGGTTTCAAGCAAATAGCGTTGTGCATCAGCACTGCCGTTGCGTCGATCGTCGCCGGCGGAATGGTCGTCGCCCTGGGGTTTTACAACCCCTTCATCATTGTTGGTTCAATGTTGGTTACAGCTGGATCAGCCCTCTACATGGTCATCAAACCAGACGCTACTCTCGGGATGGTGTGAGTGATTCCAAGCGGTGTCTGTGGATTGGATTCGGAATAACAGGCTAATGAGTTTCAAAGGATTGGCGCTCAGATTCTCGTTGGTGCTGGTGTTGGAGTTGGTGCAGAGCAAGCAAACGTTGCCGTCCAGACTGTGTTACCGAGCGAAAAGATTGCCAAGGGCACAAGTCTTACTCTCTTCACCAGATTGCTAGGTGTAGCGTTATCTGTACCGGTTGCTCAGAGCGTTATCCAACAGGAGCTCGTGAAGGCGCTCGGCCCGTCTGTCGCTGGTGTTGTCTATGGTGACGGTGGAGCTCCAGATCTGCGCATGAAGCTGCAAACGATGTTTGGAGACAATACTCCAGCATTTCAGAACGCTCTAAATGGGGTGAACTACGCCATCACGAGAACGTTTATGCTGGCTATGATATTGGCTGCTATTTCGTTCCCATTCGGCCTTCTCGTGGAATGGAAGAGTGTCAAAAAGGAGAAGAGAGCCGAGGAGGACCAGAAGGAAAGGGGAGGCAACCCAAAGGCCAACTAAAGTCTCCAAAATCTCTGTACAGTAGACCAAAGCAGTCTCGTTTATCGAGCATGAGAATGCATGACAAAAACGTCGCTTCTGCAATGGTCTGCATCCAATCAGCACACAGGGTTGGTAGGTGGAGGAATAAATATTAAAAAGAAGCATTTTGGCTTCAACCCTATTAATTGAGACTTTGCAGGAGATGTTAAATTGCTAAGCTAGGCATCAGTATGCTATGGACGGGTTGTTTGTGTTGATCATTTTGACAACCTTTAGATGAAGTTGTCGACTGATGTGGTCGTGTTGAACCACAAGTCCACAACGTCCAGCCATAAACGTGGAAGACAGTAGCTGACTGTTAGACGTCAGCCAAGATCAAAGCTTCATGCAGACAGACAGACATAAATATCGATGCGCAAACATTTCATCCTATACTACATTCATCATCTCGACCGTGTTCTGAATTTCTTTCTCGTGTAACTTGTGGTGCTGATTGGAATGGTGCACATGATCACTCACAATTGCCTATCTGCCATCAAAACTAATTCCTTAATGTACTTTACCGCAACGCGAGAATCAACGACTCAATGTACAACTAAAATAAACTGTATCCACAATTTCAATTACATTTATTTCTAAGCCAGAGGGCACTCGCGACTTGCATCCATCCATGCCATGAGATTGATCAGCAACACGTCGACCGAGCTGTGTCGTCCTGCGGATGGCATAGCCAGCGTCAATGCTTTCGGCTACACAAGAACAGGTGGTCAAAATGTTAGAGGTAGTAATTTTCTTGGCCATGTAATATCGGGCACTGATTTCTGAAGATTCCGGTCAATCGGGAACCGTCAAACTTCCTTTTGGGGTCGATATTTGAGACCGGGGAACGGCGTCGGCTTTCATTCACCGCGAAAATCTGCCAAGTCGGCCAAAGCTGCGAAAACTCTCAGAGGCCAATCACGTCTAAGCTGAGGGTGGTAAATCCGCCGGTCTCCGCTATGTCTGAAAGATGATGAACTCGGAGCTTGAGCAAGAGCGCCACGCCAGAATTGTCGTAAAACAATGGCTAACCTCGTGTAGTTGGGGTTAGACTCAAAGTACCTTACGGTGTTCGACTCTTAATCTTTACAGCACAGTCCAATTTCAGCAAGTTGACCCACAATCATCTGAGCATATTCTCGCTTTCGCTATGATTTCATCATTCAGGAAACTCCTGATACCTATCCTAGCGGCTATGCATACGCAGGTATGCATAGCCGATGAGGTGGGGGAAGCAGGCCACGGTCTCATCGGCTATGGTATCACAATGTACCAGGTGAGCATGATTCAACCTCAAGAGTTAGACTCAGAACTGACGGCGCTTAGCCCCTCTGCGCCTACTCGTGCCGCGTTGTGCTCTCCGGCAGCGCACTGAATTGCAGCACGATGGTTGTCGAGGGTGGCCTACCAATGCCTCGAACCTCCCCTGAGTGCTTCGCGACTGACGATGCCTTCCTAACATCCATGGCCCTTTGCCTGCAATCAGTGGGTCACATCTTTCGTGAGTCCGATAGCGAGAACTCTACTGACCTGTAGTAGCGTTGCACCGACCTTCCCGCATGGAAGATTGAGAAGTACTGGCACAAGACTGAAGCGAGCATCCGGAATAGTCATAGACGGCTTGATGAACCTGGAGTTCATGTTGTTGCGAAGCCTCCGGTTCCAAAGTGGACTTACCAGCAGGCCCTCGCCCAGATTCAGGGCAACGTTACCTCGACTTTGGCATATGGAGAGCCCCTCAATCGGACATTTTTGGTTGCCGACTTCCAGTACCAGCTACAGTATGATACAATGGAAATGTTTGAGAGAATGGAAACCCATCATGAAAAATATGGGTATGCCGTGTCTGTTGAATTTGGGAGAAGCTTTGCTTACATGGTTCCAGATTGGTGCTCATCACTCTGGGAGTCATTGTTCCCATTGCAAGCTCTTGGCTCCGCTTCCTCCCATTGCCCAAGCTATTCAAAGCCAAAGTCAACGCCGCTATCATAGACCCGCCCTTGTTCGGCAGCCGCCACCAAGCGCCCTATTTCAACATGTTCATCATGCCAACGCGTGGCCAGGCGATGCTCATAGCGTATGTCGTGGTCCTCAACTTCGTACTCAGTGGAGTAGATATTCAGTCAGCTCAGCCTAATGCATGGTGGTGGGGCAATCAGTTACAGGAAGTCCTTACCTCTGTCGCCAACCGCACTGGTGTTCTCAGCTTCGCGAACGTGCCATTGCTCATCCTATATGCCGGCAGAAACAACTTTCTGTACTGGCTGACCGACTGGACACAGTCGACATTCATGGTGATGCATCGTTGGACTGCATACCTTTGCACGCTTCAAGCTATCATGCACTCTATCATATGGCTTCGCATATATGTCGTCTTAGGATGGCATGATAGCGAATCGAAGCTTGCTTACTGGGTGTGGGGTGCCATCGCAACGCTTGCGATGAGCCTGCTACTCCCAGCGTCAGCCATTCCCTTCCGTGCCAAGATGTACGAGATGTTCTTCTTTTGGCACATCGTACTGGCTGTCTTCTCGGTGGTAGGTTGCTACCTGCATATTATATACCGCTTCAATCATCAATGGGGATACGAGATTTGGATGTACATCGCCATTGCAGTCTGGGGATTCGACCGCGTTGCCAGACTTGCCAGGATGGCCAGAAATGGCTGGCGGCAAGCCGTTGTCACAGTCATTGACGACGAATACGTCCAGGTTGACATAGAAGGGGCAAAGGGTCACGGACACGCCTATCTCTACTTCCCGACGCTAACGTGGAGAATCTGGGAAAGTCATCCCTTCTCCATCATGGGAACTAGAGTGAGACCTGCGGATCCTCCGCGATCATCCTCGGGAAGCTCAACCGAGAAGTCACTGGGGTCGACATCCAAGCTTGCCAGCACCACAGCCGCCGATGTGGTCATCATCCACGAACCGCCTCATGTTGGCCTTTCCTTCTTAATCCGAACCTTTGACGGCGCCACAGGTATGCTTCGCTATAAGACCCGACTCCCCGTTCTCGTCGAGGCAGACTATCTGCCGTACCCCGACTTAACCAAGTTTCAAACTCTTATATGCATCGTTGGAGGTGTCGCAATCACAGCTGTAGCACCAGCTTTACGTGCCTACCCAGGACACGCCAAGGTGTACTGGTCATGCAGGAGTCCTGGTCTGGTCGAAATCGTTGATCTTGATCGTATTGACACGGACATCCTGGTAGGCGAGAGGTTCAATTTGCGCAACGTTATGGAAGAAGAGATTGCAAAAGCCAAGGGAGATACGGCCGTCGTCGTCGGTGGTCCCGCAGCTATGACTGACGAGGTGCGATGCATCGTCAGCAAACTAGCACTCAAGGCAGCGATCCCTGTTACTTTGATCGATGAAACCTACTACTGGTAGACCCGCATAGCGGTGCACTTAAGCGATCTGTGTAGTCTTCTGTCAATACCCTTGGCTGTCAGATTACCTTTATCGTGAATAATATATGGGCATTGAGTCTGCAATCTTTCATTGCAGAGTCGATCTCGCGAATCAAATCGCTCTGCAGCTACTGTTCAATCGAAATTCGGGGTTCTTGAATAGAAGAGAACAAAATTTTCTTCATTAGTTCCAGTTACATCACGTTGAAGCACTATGTTAGAAAAAACAAAATCAAGGTCTATGTAAGTCGGTGAGGCGACATAGATAGATATGTGACGTGGCTGGAGATGTGGCTTGGGCAGCTGGCGGCACGGCAAATCGTCATCCGGAAGTTAGGGTAACTATTCCATATTGGGACGAAATCATCCTGTTTTGATCATCAGATGAGTTTCGCAGCTGTCCAGACTCCTGCACGATCATCCATCAGCATGACCTGGGGACGGTGCTTGAAGAGTACGGAAACGCACCCGCGATCGGTCGTTTTCATTAATCATTGCTGCGATCTCTCCACACGGACGAACCATCATGGCGTCAATCAAGACCATCATCATTGACCTTCCAGTAGGTAAAATATCCGTCGCAGGCGATGGCCAGCTCATTCGAGCTCGAGGAATTCGATACGCATCCGCCAGTCGCTTCCAGCGTCCTACCCCTATCGACAAATGGAAGGACACAAAAGACTGTACGGATCCATCACCGATCTGCCCTCAGACTGTGCCTTCCCGATTAGATTCTGTCACCGGACCCATCACAGCAGGGCGCGACCAAGATGAAGACTGTCTTCACGTGACAGTAACTACAACTGTGGATGCGCTTTCGGGCGGACGCAAACTACCAGTCATGGCGTATCTACACGGAGGGGCTTACGTCTCGGGTGGCGCGGATCTGGATGGCTACCAGCCAACTGGCCTAGTGGAGAGAGGTGTCGTCGGTGTCAACATCTCCTATCGACTCGGAGTCTTCGGATTTCAGCCAATACCGGATATCGCTCCCGCGAACCTTGGGTTGTTGGACCAGGTGGAAGCTCTTCGCTGGATCAAGGAAAACATAGCTGCGTTCGGCGGTGACCCCGACAATGTTACACTCTTTGGACAATCTGCCGGAGCGGGCTCAATCTACTGCCTCATGCTTGCAGAGGGGACCGACCGTCTATTTCACAAAGCCATACTACAAAGTGCGCCTCTGGAAGTATGGACGCCGGATCGGGAAGAGATGGTTCGCTCGCTGGGTTGCCTTGCCCGAGAAAGACTCATCACCGATACCAGGCCGAGGAGTTCCCAGGAGATGCTGTCCTTACAGACTGAGCTTCTGCTCGCTGCTAAGGGACAGTTGCCGTTCGGTCCACTTATGGGACATGCACCGTTACCCACCCATACCGAAGTATCTGAGAAGATCCGCCTGGTAGCGCAACGAATACCTATCATGCTTGGATACACTAAGGATGAGGGCGTCCCATTCGTCCGAATGAACAAGACCTTACGTCCTTATATTAATCTGAGTTTGATTGGACAGTTTATTGAGCGAATAGCAACTTGGTTCGTTTCGGGAAAGGTGTTCAAGTGGCTCACCGATCGCCTCAACAACCAATACTTGGAGGCGGGGGGTCAGGCAACACTCTACCGTTTTCAGTGGCACCCTTCGCATAGCTCATTGCGGGCGGCCCACTGCATCGAGCTGCCGTTTCTCCTTGGCTCCTGGGAGTCATGGAAAACAGCACCTATGATAGGAGGAGACGCATCTCGAGACGCTGTGGACGGTTTAGGTGACAGACTTAAAGATGTCTGGGTGGAGTTTGCCAACCATGGAAACGACAATATTCAGGGGTTTACAGTCACCGGCGACGAGACAAAATGGAACATTGTGAATCATTGAAGTGCCCTATTATTGAATAGCCTCCTGCAATCTTTCTGGTCAGTTCAATATTTCTGAAATAAAACTACATCGTTCAGTCTACCCATTCCAGAAATAGACAGTTGCTTGGCTATCGCCGCGGCCGTTCATGTATCTCTTCGAAGGCAACAAGAACCAGTTTACCTCTTGCGATTGATTTATCAGCCACGAGCCATCTACTTTGGGCTTCACTGACCCGCGAATTTCAGGCTATCTTCAGACCCAGTCCTCGTTGTATAACTATCCCAACTCACTCGGTGCGTCTGAAATGGTTCGACATGACAGGCTTGGCGCTGCAGGGGTTGGCTTTGGCCCCTTCGAAACTGGGCAAAAGGCGCCAGAGATTTGAAACTCATGACCGACAGTTGGGCATCGCTTGTCTTGTGTCATCTCGGAAGCCATTTGAAATTGAGAAACTAATAGTTCACTTTTGCGAGACTCTTCTCCAAAATCAAGTCGGAAAAGCTATCCCTCCATGAGGCGCAGAAAGTCGACACCTTGAGTATTAACAGGCTCCCATGATGCGACCAGCCGACAAATCTCATGACAAAGACTTACTACAATGAGAAGGCAACTCGCAAGGAGGGAGCCACCAGTAATATATAAACATCCTCCGGGTGGTCGAGTGTCTCTCACCCACCAATCAAGGGAACCCCACATCCCCGGTCCTCCGATGCAACCCCGGCTCCAACCCGCCGTCACATTTCTCGGTGCAAGCCACCCGAGATTTCCTGATTCTGCAGTTTTCTTCTTCGATGGCGCCGCCTCGTTACCGACGTTTCAGGGCTACACGTGCCCTCCCTTGACCGCATCCGCGCACTCTCATGTGGTGGCTCCCAATCAATAATCGTCAGCACAACACCAAGACCCGGCATCCCATTCAGGCTCTCCGGATGAATGTGTCCCATCGTGGCGCCGCGCGCTATGCGCTCGTGACAGATGTCGCCCACAGGGAAGCAAGGGACGACGCGACAGCCCGCGGGGAAATGGCACGTTTGCCCTGCTTATTGTTGCCCGAGAGTCGGAAGACGGCCCTAGATTGCTGAGCCAGCGATTCAGCGTAGCTTTTCACGATGGCACAATGTCCGACTCAGGTTTCTGTCATCAATAAACTTGCCCGTTTGGGTGTTCACTCAATATCGATTGCCGAGTTTCCGGTTCAGTCGACGCGTCTCTCCGGCTCCGGATGATGCACTATATATGCCGTGCCTCTCGTCTCCTGGAGTGCATATTGCCTGAACTCGACACCGCTCATCATCCAACAAGCCGGGCCCCTTCTCTTAACTCGAGACACGCTTAATCAGTCTTATCAGACGTTCAAGCTGACCATGGGCATCATTACTCCCTCCTCTCTGTTGCTATCCTTGGCAACGTTGGTCGCCTCACACGGCCATGTTGACTGGCTAGTGGCTGATAACGTCGCCTACCGCGGCTGGGACTCTCCTGCATTCACCTACTCGCCTCCCACATACCCGGTCGTCGGGTGGAAGATCGATGCCCCTGACAACGGTTTCGTCGAGCCAGTCAACTTTGGCACGGGCGATATCATCTGCCACAAGAACGGATCTCCCGCCGGCGGCCATGCCACCGTTCCTGCGGGAGCCAAGATCCAGCTCGTCTGGAACACATGGCCCGAGTCCCACAAGGGCCCTGTGATCGACTACCTTGCCAAGTGCAGCGGTAACTGCGAGTCCGTCGACAAGACCTCGCTGAACTTCTTCAAGATCAGCGCCGGCGGCCTCATCGACATGTCGCTCTCGAACGGCAAGTGGGCCGACGATGTCCTGATGGCCAACAACTTCACGTGGACCGTCCAGATTCCATCGAACCTGGCCCCAGGCAACTACGTTCTCCGCCACGAGATCATCGCGCTGCACTCTGGCGGCAACGTCAACGGCGCCCAGGCGTACCCGCAGTGCTTCAACCTGCAGGTCACTGGCGGCGGCTCGCTCGCTCCGGCCGGTGTCAAGGGCACGGCTCTGTACAAGTCGGACGACCCCGGAATCTTGTTCAACCTGTACACTTCGCCTCTAGTCTACCCGATCCCCGGTCCGACTTTGGCGGCGGGCATTTCGTCTTCGACTGCTGCTCAGAGCACCGCCCGGCCGACTGCGACATCCAGCGCGACGGCCCCCGGAGGTGGCAGCGGAAGCAGCCCCACCACGGCCCGGACGACAACGGCGGCGGCCCCGGCTACCACGACCACTGCCAGGACCACCACTACCACAGCGGCAGGAGGAGGCTCCGGCGGCACTACCGTTCCCAAGTACGGCCAGTGCGGTGGCATCGGATACACCGGCTCGACGACTTGTGCTTCTGGCTCGACTTGCCAGGTTCTCAACGAGTACTACTCCCAGTGTGTTTAGAGTAGAAAGCTGAGGGATTCTGGTCGGGTGTAATTTTCAGCAGATACTGGAAGTATTGGAACATTCTTGTACATAGTTCAACAGCTGTTAGTGTATTCGTCAATCCGAAGTCGCCGTCTCGGTCAAATGTTGTGCGTCAAGTGCCGTGGGTATGATGGGGTCCGCTTCTTACCCCTGGAATACCCTGTCTCCCCCGTGTACATGACTTGCAGATTGATGTGGCAAACGCTCTAACGATTTGAATTCATGTATTATCAATCCAGACGAACTGGCTGAGATCCCACCGGGGTGAATACGAATACGACAAGCCCCACCCTGCCGGTGGGCAGCTATCTCATTTCTAGCCCCCCTTTCATGCCTTGGTCTTTCTCCTAATTCTAATCTTCGCTCCTTCGGGAGGAAACAATGCCTCTGTCATCCAGTAATTTGGCGGCCTTTGCCCGTTGTACTCGGCGGGGAACTCGACATCGTAGTGACCCAGAACGTAGGCAATAATCATCTTCAACTCAAAGTCAATCAGGAAGCGGCCTGGGCATGCGTGCTTCCCGTGTCCAAACGGCAAATACTCGGTGCTGGTCGTGACGAACGAGACAGGGGGCACCTTTTCATCCTTGGCCGCGGCATTCTCACGAATCCTGGAGAACCGGAACGGGTCGTATTTGAGCGGCTCCTCGAAAACATCGCCATCCGTGGCAGCGGGCTGGCCGAGGAAAGAGATGAGAGTGCCCTTGGGCAGGTGGTTTCCATCTGGGCCCTTGTACCCATCGACCATGACCTTCCGGAAGACCGCGCGTCCACCAAATGATTGGAGGCGGAGAGTCTCTCGGGCCACGCTGTCGGCCTTCATCATTTTGCTGACCTTGGCTTTCGTCCAGCTATCGTTGCCATCTTCGTACAGAATGCGGTTAACTTCATCGCGCAGGATGGATATCGTGTTGAACTCGGAATCGGAGCCGATGATATTGAGCAGCATGTTCGTTGCTTGGATGCTTGTCTGGTGCATTGAGCCGAAGTTTGCAGCAATGAGACGCCTCGTCATCATGTCGACGTTGTTGAACTCCTCGACGCGGTTCTTTTCGGCGTACCTCGCCATCATCTGCAGGTGGTCTTGCGGTTCCGGATGGTCCGGGTCGTTGCGGTCGTACTTCAAGCTCTCGACGCGCTCGTTCCAGTACGGCTCGAACATCTTTCTCAGTCTGTTGATTTTGCCGTGCAGCGGCAGGTTCAGGAGGTAGCCGATCAGAGGTCTCAAAATCCTGGGAGCACCCCCAACAGCGCCAGCGTTGACGACTAGATGATCAATGATTTCGTAGTTCAGTTTGAAGTAGTCCTGGTCTCGGCCTGCGTCGCATGAGTCAGTTTGAAGACCGTCTATGAAGGGACGTACACCTTACAAATAGGCAATCCGATGGTGAAGCGACCAGCCGCTTGTGCGACAATCTGTCTGATGAGGGAGAATAGGTCGATCTCCTTCCACTCGGTCTCTGTTCCAAACCACCTGTCGACCGCGATACCCAGCTCGTTGTTCATAGCAGCGCAGACATTCTCCAGGATGAGGTTCATGTCTGTCTTGACGAGATGCCCCTGCCAAGCATCCGTCACATACCGAGCGTCTCCAAGCGCGTAGTGGATCTGGTCGACCTCGGCGAATGCTTCGCTGGGGCTCAATTGGTCTTCGGGTTGCGTCAAGACCCATCGCATCGTGCTCGTGGGCATGATCACCTCGTGGCGGAAGCCCAAGCCAGGGATCACGACGGCTTTACCTTTCTTGGCATACTGGATCGACCAACGCGGGTTAGCGTCCGAACTGGATTGATGGGCAGCGATAAAGTAATTTTGGACTGACGTTGTCAAAGGCCTCCCGGAACAGGCCTGGGCAGTCTGTGTAGTACCGAAGGATAGTGCGAAAGCTGAATCGCGTCGCGCCCTCTGGCTCGCCGATGAGCGCGATGCCCTCCGGGTAGGGGATTCTGTAGAATGTTCGGCTGATGAGGAAGAAGATCACAAAGCTTCCCGCTGCTAGCAGGCCGATTCCTGACCAGCTGGAGAGCTCGGGGAATATCAATGACGTGGGAGCCATTGTGGACCGCGCGATCTGAAACTAGCGTTCAAATTCCTGCAGTCTGCGGTGTCCCCAGTCGTGACGGCTTCACCACGGGTAACACGGAGGGATAAGGTTGATGTCTGAATTGACCCAAGCTCGGTGTCAAACTTGAGGGGAAGCTCTGGGGTTTTAACTCATCTCAATGCTGACATACCCCGTCCCATGTTTGGCTTGATGGGGCCGCCGGTGGGAGACGCGAGCCAGAGAGTTGGGCCCAACGTGGAGACTAGCAAGGGTGATCCCCCTGTAGCGCGCCCGCATTACCCATGTCACCTTGTCAAGGGAAGTGTGCGCGACGGAAGCCTGGACATTTTGTAGGGCTGCCTGGAGGCCATCGGCCCCGGATATTACAAGGTAAATTGCTTCGGCTTTTCATGATCCAAGGCGACACAGCAGCGTCCAGGTGACCAACGGCGGACACATGCAACATTACACATAGTTGGACAAAGCCACGTACAAAACGAGGCAACAGCCCCATCACGTAGCCCTCGAGTCGCAGCGGATACTGACAAGCTCTCACGAACATCAACTCGAAGATCCACAGGAACAACAGTTTGAAGCTACACTATCATCATGCCATTTCTTGGCCAATCAACAAAATGTGCATCCTTCGCGGTTGCCTAGCTCTCATTCGTCCCCTTAGCGTTGGTAAGCAGCCACGTTCCGAAAACGGTAATGCGTAGCAGCACCAATTCTTGAAAGGATGCGAACCTGCAGCACCTGGATTTGTTCCTTGTTCTTATTCAATTAGGCTGTATTCATGTCATTGGTTGGCTCGGCCCCACCTCTACTGAGTGCGCGATCTGGGCTGTGGCGCCCGCCAACTGAACCAACTCAACGAACAGACAGATAATGAGTTCAAAAACAATCGACATGAAGGTCAAGAGCAAAAGATTGGACGAACAGGGAATCGAACCCTGGACCACTCACATGCTAAGCGAGTATTATACCACTAACCCATTCGCCCAAGGGTTGATTTCGCCCGGACTTGAACCGGAGACCTTCAGTGGAACACTGGNCCGGAGACCTTCAGTGTGTTAGACTGACGTGATAACCAACTACACCACGAAACCATTTGAATTGTTGAAGTCAACCAGCAAATTTCAAGAATATGGAGCATTGGCATGTGGTGTGGTGGGAAATCGAGTCGTGAAGCGAAAAGAAAGCCCTCAAGTGGGTCCAGCCCGGGTCACGCCCGGTCTGTTCGACGGGGCAGCCGGAGCACGGCCGGAGTCCAGACCAGGAGGCTTCAGATTATTTCAAAGCGTCGAACCCCGTTCATCAAGGATGGGAGGATCACTGCAACCGTTGCCCAACATTTCATTAGATGAGATACTTGGAAATTGCTTTAAAAATTGAAAGACCTAATTTTAAGATGTAAAGCCTAAATCGCACACGGTCCGAAGACTCCTGCAATCGGTCTCACAAATCCTAGTTGTACATTATTCTAGAGCTTTCCGATAGCCTCAACCAGAGTCTTTCCAATGACCCCAGCACTTGGCGGGTTCTGCCCGGTAATCAGCCGACCATCCTTGCCGCTAACCACAATCTTGACTCCGAAAAGCTGATCTGCCTTGACATAGTGAGCCCCGTGGTTCTTCATCTCAGTCTCCAGCAAGAAAGGCATCGCATCAGTAAACTGATACGCATCCTCCTCGGCGTTGGAGAATCCAGTCACCTCTTGGTCCTTGACTAGGTACTCTCCATCCGACAGCTTAACATTGACTAGGGCTCCAGGGCCGTGGCAGACGGCCGAGACAATCTTGCCGTTCTCGTAGAACTCGCGAATCAGTGCGTGAGATACCCGGTCGACGGCCAAGTCGAACATGGCTACAGAGTAATTGTTGTCAGCGATCTCACGGCTCTCGCTTCGAATTCAGCATTGCTTCACTTACGTCCGTGGCCACCAACGTAGAAGATTGCAGCAAACTCTGAAGACCTCTGAAGCATAGTCTCCAGCTTCTCCGTCTTCTTCCAGAGGCTCTCCTTTTCTTTCAAGAAAGTCTGGCACTCTGCGTCATCCTTGGCTTCTTGGACGGAATAGGGATCAATCGGAGCTTCGCCGCCCTTGGGCGAGGCAACGACAATGTCCACATGAGGAGCGAGTGCGTTGTACGGGTGCACGAACTCCGGAAGGTACCATCCGGTCTTCATGCCATCCCTCGTAGGGAGGTTGTCTTGTGACGTCAAGACGACAAGAACCTTAGGCTTTACTGACATTGTGAAAAGGAGTGAAAGGAATTGTTCCAATTACATAAAGAGACGTAATAGTAAACCTGCGATCACATCAAGACATGTAATCTGGCGTACTCCAGGCCATCTTTTTGTATCTCTTAGCATAGTGGAATTAGAGTTTTGACTCCGTAAGAGTAGCCAATTCGGGGCATGGTTCCCCACTGGATTGGGTTGAACTAGGGACGAACATCCTGGCAGACATCACCAAGGTGGATACTTTGTCTCTCGAGGCTCGGCAGCGTCATCTCTAACTCCCTACGAGCTTCCTATTGTCCATTAAGATGTGTTTCTCGTCGGTTCTAGCGGAAATTATGACTGACTATGTCCGGGAGTCAATGCAAGACGAAGCGGTTACTAATATTTCAAAAACAGCGAGGAAACTGCCGACGTGTCAAGAGCGCATATATAAGCACCCATGCAGTCTGTTCTCCAGATGGCATGCCGTAAAGTTTGACAGCGATCGCCTTCACCTCTTGTGCTTTCCCAGCTGCATTCCATCCATCATTCAAAGGCAACTTTCATTCATTAAGAGCCGCCAGCAATCACAATGGCCATCACAATCACCGTTGTCTTCCCTAACGATGACGATGCCCAATACGACATCGACTACTACGTCACCAAGCACATGCCTCTGATCCAGGAGAGATGGGGCAAGTACGGCGTCAAATCTTGGTCCGTCACGAAGTTCCAGCCTGGCGCAGATGGAGCCAAGCCGCTGTACGCGTTCGGTTCGGTTGTGTACTGGGACAACTTGGAGCAGATCAAGACGGCTTTTGGAGGCCCGGAGGTTGGGGAGATCATGGGCGACGTTGCCAACTTCTCGAACAAGGAGCCAATCTTCCTCACTGGCGAAGTTCTGCATGGATAAGCAGAAAAAGATGGGTTTACGAATATCTGTTGATGGGATACGAGGTTAAAACTCGTCGGGCGGGATGGTCGATTGGAGAGAGGGGATTGGGGATTGGGTATCGCACGATCACACGTGCCTACCTAGCTTCACAAACCAATGAGGGTTCTCTGGGTTATTCATCCAGCTACACTTAGAGCTATTTTGCCTTCATTCACGCACAATTAGACAAGTTTCAGATTGTCGCCTCGCACCCTTCCCCACAGCAAATGATGCTCCCAGAAAGGTGGAAGAGATGGTTCATGGAATAATGCAATTACTTCTCCGGTTGGCGTTCTGGCCCTGGTGGTTGATCCAGCGCCACAAGGCTTGGCCAGTACGCGTCTGTTCGCAACTGCAGGTCGGGACCCTGTGCTCCCATGGCATGGTTATGTCCCCATCGGAGACAGGATGAGTGGCTTCCCAATCGACTCATTTCTCAAATTGTCCTCCCAGCATTTCAACACGAGTAGAAGGAAGTATTACTTCATCGTCCCTTCTCGTATCCCTTAACCATTGGTAGTAATAAATCAACCACCGTCAAAGCCATATCTATTGCACACAAATGATGTTTGTTTATTCGACTTCCCGGAACGTCACCCTGTTCATGAGCTTTATTTCTTCCGATCCCACGATGCAACACTACAGCGCAAACTCTGGGGTCCATCTACCCCAAATTGTAGACTCTCCGACCTTCCCTTCCCGGCTACAGCATGCATTTCCTTCTTTATATACTAGGGCACCACCTTTCGCCCAGAGGCCAATTGCTCCTGCAGTCTCGCTGTCACACCTTACGCGAATACACCCATCTACAAACCATGAAAAACGTGAAGGCCACGCGGGAGACCTTTCATCCATCGCCATCTCGCGTGTCATTTCCAAATCAGCCATCCCTCTTGGCTGCATCCAAGCGCATTCTCTTCACCCAAATATCTTCTGCATTGGCCGGTCTGCCCATCGATACGGATCACCAAATTTCCACCACTCCTAAGAAGGCTGTCTTCATTAGCCGGTCCTTGGCGCGATCGCTTCCTGGTGGTATCTCTGCCAAGATCCCGAAGCAGCGGGTCGGATGGCAATCATTGGCGATGCACCACGCGAACCAGACAGGGTTCTCCGCATGGGGCCATTACAGGTGACGATGTTGCAAAAAAGAAAGCAGGGAGAGGGGAACCCGAAATCAAGAGCTTCCGTTGACCGAGATCGGATGTGATGACTGCGGCATGGCAGAGTTGTATCTATATTTGTGTATAAATAGTATCCTGAAGATTGTCCCCGTCTTCCCCTGTCTCTCCACGCTCTGTCTTTTCTGGTGGGTTGTTCAAGTCATCGAGAGTCATAATGAGACTTACAACAAAATCCATACTATGCGCCTTCGCAGGCCTGGCCACCGCCAACCCCCTCGACTGGCTCGGCATCGCCTCCTGGGACGTCGAAGGCTACGCCAAAGACAACCCCCTCGGCAAGACCACCGGCGGCAAGGGCGGCCCAACGGTCACCGTCTCCACCATCCCGGAGCTCCAGACCGCCGTCGCTGGCACGGATCCCAGAACCGTCGTCTTGAAGGGCTCTCTCGAGCTGCCCGCGCGGCTCAAGGTCGGCTCCAACAAGAGCCTCGTCGGCTACAAGACCACGGCGCACATCACCGGCAAGGGCGTCGACGTCTTCAACTCGACCAACGTGATCCTGCAGAATCTCAAGATCAGTCATATCCTAGATAACGACTGCATCACGATCCGCAACTCGACGCGGGTGTGGGTGGACCACAACGAGTTCACCTCGGATATCACCAAAGGCCCTGATTTCTACGTAAGCTCAAACTAAACTTCCACTCGACGCCAACAGCAAGTGCTAACTTATACGTGACAGGACGGCCAGGTCGATATCATCCGCGCTTCAGACTGGATCACCGTCTCTTGGAACTACTTCCACGACCACTGGAAGTCCTCGCTGGTCGGCAACGACGCCACCTTCCGCGACCTCGACTCGGGCCACCTGCACGTCACATACCACCACAATCACTGGCGCAACGAGGGCACGCGCGGCCCCGCGGGGCGCTTCGGCCGCCAGCACATCTATAACAACCTGTACGAGGATTTTCTCTACCAGGCCATCCACTCGCGCTCCGACAACCAGGTGCTTGTTGAGGGCAATGTTTTCCGCGGGAACACGCGCGAGGCGCTCAGCACGTACGGGCTCGTTATTCCTGACGACTCGCCGAACACGTGTACGTGTGGTGATGAGGAGTTGGATGGGTTTGCCAACCTCGGGGCTCGTAAGTTGTCACATCTGCTGTATGTCATGGTTTATGCTAAATGTTCTGTGATAGCCAACGACTGGGGCAAGGCTGGTGTCAACATCACACAGAAGGGTGACTTCTATAAGGCACCTTACAAGTTCAAGCTCACCCCATTGCCACTTGTAGCCCCTATCGTCAAGATTGGCGCTGGTGTTGGAAGAGTATAGGTGACTGTGTGTGAAAAGGAGAACGCTCGACGATGCGGTTGAAATAATTCTCAGGCAAGAAGGATGCGGGTCAGGCTCGGTGCTTCTGTCTCCCACCACGAATGCTCAAACAGTAGTTAATCACTGAATAAACTCTTTCCCATACCTAATATTACATGTAACCTGAGAAAATTTCTCTTCCATTGGTCGTTTCTTTTAGATTCTCCAGTTGGGTCCGACACATCTCGCCTTTTGTGATGCAAGCTTATTCGTCAGTGGTAACAATTTCCCATCAGGCGGCCTACATGAATCAAGCCAATTCTAATCATTTTTTACTGAAACGGCGAAGTAAACGGGCATTCGTCCAGAAAACGTGGATTCGTGGCCTAACATCGAGACGAAGCACTCACACTATGTGTATTGTGTGACATGATCACAGCACGCATTCTATAGCCGACGTCCTTCCGGCAAGATCTTCATCCCCGTTGTATGGGGCTTCAAATAATTCTCAACTGATAGAAGCTTCAGATGGCACTTTCGCAGTAAAAATGGGATGAGATCCCCAAACATCAATAGGTGTTGGGGGCTATGTTTGAAGGGAATGCTTCACGGGCATCATCTCGGAGTAGCCACCAAACTAACTCGATCAATTTTGGGACCTACACCACACTTCCTGTCTTCCTATTATGTAGACAAACCTCCATTGCATGAAGCATGTGCTTCGATATACTGACTTTATTTCAAAGCAATCTCATCCTTCCATCTTTAATAGTGTATGCCCAATACTTAGAGCCTTCGTGATGCAATACCCACGTCTTTTAGTGAGTGAGGTTAATGTTCTGAGCACTATATTTTGATAAATTGAGCTCGCGCCCATGTCTCATACCAAGCCCGAAAAAATGGAAAACAGGCGGCGTTGATAACACTTGCAGTCTGATACCATGTTCAGAGAGATTGGGGCCACTGGGGATGTCACGCGTTGATGAATCACTGAAATCCAATTACCCTCGGCGTATGCGTTCGCCCTTCAGTTATTTGAGTCCTCACAATACTCAGACGATAAAGACGCCGGAAGACCACAACAGAGCAAAACGGTGTGGGAAAATTCGAATTTGTGGCCTTAATTTACAGATACAAAGCCATAACCACGAACTTGGTCTCCATCTCTAAGAAGAAACGTAAGAAGTGGCGTGGCTCCGCATTTTTCGAGAAGAGGAGTTCAAAACAGGTGTCTGGGATATTTATACACACGTCACCAGCGCCTCGCCTTCATGCAGCGATCTCATCATTCTGGTATAAATTAATAGTTTCTCACGGCTCTTGCTCTTACCTCTCAGCACAATGTCGACTCCATGGTTTTGGTGGACAGAACCGGAGCCTCGAACCAATCGTCGATCAAATCCTCCAGCAGACAACGTCAGAATCTAAATTCAGGATGTTTTCAGAGTACCCTTCATCCGCCAGCCATTCTTCCCCTTGATTATCAAAACAAGTATATCCCACGAACAGTGCTCATAGTTCCGTATTACAGTACCAACCCGTTTACCTTTCTTTCTCCATGATAACTTGACCAAGGTACTGATGACATAGTTTGCACCCATTGTGTTTGCGAAAACACAACGCCCTCTCGTGTCAATGGTGCCGAAGTAGACCACTCCTTCGGAGTCGCATATTTAAGAGACCGAACCAAATCGATGCTGGGGATAGTCCCATCTGCCGGCGCTATAAAATCTCCGTAACTTCCTTGGATATTCAGGCATTAGCAGCAATCAGTTCCCGAGGTAGTTGGCGAGTTGATCAGGAGGGTGAGGCTGTGACTCGATCAACAGCCAAAGCCTCGGGCCACGTCTGGCTGGAAAATTTCCAGCCATCTTCCCTCATCGTCTCGAGACCTCAACTTGTGGTGGCATAATCTCTATCTTCTAATACACACACTAATACTCTCGGGACGTGGATGCGAGACGGGAACAACTTCCATGGTCGAGGAAGTGCTGCTCCAAAGGTATCACGCAGATAGTGACTCAGGATGGTTCACATATTCATGCGGCTCTGTGAACCGAGGAGCGACTTAGTATGGTGCCCGTCTCGGTCTCTTCGTTTACATGGCTGCGTTCGCCGCAACAACCTCTGCATCAGAAAGATCACACACCTTATATATTGTCACTCTAGCAACGAGCCTACATCACCACCAGCATCCACACAACTCCAACCATGTAACCCCATCAAAGCCTCTTCGCCAAACCGTCTAGGTAAACTCCCATCCCCTACAATGAGGTGGGCGGTATTGCCGTACCTAAAGCCACCCAGTGAACAATGAGCAAATAGGCTATAAAAGCACGCCATCAAATCCAAGGATAAGAATTCCTCAGACAAATGAACGCGGTGGTGATATTGGATACGTTGATCAGAACCTCACGTCGCCACTCGCAAACAACACATGCGTCAAAGACGGATTTCGCAGTCGGATAGGACCTCATCATCCACCGTATTCTCCAAAACTTTGTTTTATCACACTGGGGAGGACGATGCCAGATGACGGCTGAAAACTATCATCAGGAAGTCATAGTTCGATCACAATTTGACCACAGTGAATACTGCGACAGAAAGCAAGACTAAACTCCGACCTTCTGTGAAAGCAAGTGTTGGAGGTCCGAACATCCGTTTTGTCCTTGATGAGTCAACGGGACAAACCCACTTGTTATATACCGCGTCAGCCCCTTCAGTCGCGATACTTCAGCCACTCAACACAAGCACACAAGCTCCGCTGGCTCAACACTACAACGGAGCTTTCCCTCCTCCGTCAGACCAACCAACCAACCATTCAACCAGCCAAACCCTCCCTTTCAAAAATGAATCAGTCTAAACACACCCGCGGACAAACTCTAGGCACCTGCTCGACTCTGCATATCCTCGTCCCGTCTACACCTTAATAACTTCTTTAACAACTCACTTACTAATAGCCCGACGTCAAGAAAGCGAATTCATCCGACCTCAAACTTCCGACGTCCTTCTCCGTCACCACAAACCACAGCAGATGCCGACATCTCCCCGAAAAGCCAACGCACCCTCTTCAGACGAAACAAACCACAAAAGAAAGCCCACTCACACAACATTCATCTACAGCTTTTCCCGCCACAGTAAAACTTTGAACTGCAACACACATGAGACGGAAAAAAGAGGACAAAAGAGACAGAGATCATCCTGTTCGTCCTTTTCTCTCTATCACCACTTCCCCTCCATCTCTTTTCTCATCTCTCCCACACAGAGGTCATTCGGTCCGCAAAGTCTAAAAAGGTTGTCAGTCCCAACGACAGCCCACTTGCTCCCAGCTCAACCCTTTTCACCCGCAAACTTCGTATCTGTCCTCCCGCCGGTTAAGCCACAACCCACTCACACAAACCCTTTCAACTTCGCCCCAAACAAGGCAACAAACTCGCCGAGAAGGAGAAGGCCATCCCGTATACTTGCGAGAAAATCTTTCAGCTCGCACACGCGACGGTCCTCACTGAACTATATCAAACCCTGACATATCAGCCCCCTAGGTTGAAGGCCACCCCACCTAGAATGCAACGCGCCAATGTGTTTCGATTGACTTTGAGGCGGCATATCAAAAAGGCCAACATATTCGCCTCGGAAATTGGCTTCACATGCAGCTGGAGAGTTCCACTGCAGGCGCCAAAGTAACAAAGACCGACTTCTGCATCAGAAAAGGTGCCTACTCTGCATGTGAGTACCGTCAGCCATCTGAAGAGGAAAGTCGCAACGCAGTCAGGCCTTGGTGCTGATGGTGGCCGGAGACCGGTGCGCTAAGCCCGTAAGCGCGGCGAACGTTACCACCTCTCCGAGACTTTCAGGAGGAACGATTGCGACCTCAGGCTCCCATGGCTCCTTAGCCATCCGACGTCGGCCGAGTGCGGTCGACTCGCGCGATCGTACCGGCGCAGAGATGATCCCTCCAATGAATTCAGTGGCCAGCGTGAACCAGAGCCTGAAGGAAGTCGAGCCTCACCATTGATCTCAACACGCCTATCCCCGCACCCAGCTTCACATGACAAACTCTCCATGTACATAAAAGACGCCAGAATCTCAGTGGCGGCTGCCCAAAACTCACACTTAAGGTTCAGCTACCCGACTCACCGATAAATGTCCAAAAACGGATATTTCTAACCGTCTTGGACGTCGTGCCGTCCGGGTAGGAATCCCACAAGCTTCCCCGGGAGCACGTCTGGTGTTCGGGCCCCTTCCTTGCTGTCCCCCGAGGACAGCCAAAGGACAGGGGCGACTTTTTAGATCCAACCGCAGCTTGGGATTGGTGAACTCGCAATACCCGATTAAACACAAGCTCATCTTGGAGACAGGATCGACGACGACGAGCTGCTTGAGGCCTGAACAAACATGCTGGAGCGTGACGTACTGATGAACAGTGGATCGTGATGTACTGCGCGATCACTCTTCCTGGAATACGTCACGGCATTGAGTGTAATGCCTTACTTACTACGAGAGGCGACCAACATCCTATTGCTGTTGGCAGACTGAAGCCGCGCAGAGGTGACAGCTCCCGGTACCGTTCATAGCGTGCAATGATGTGCCCCGTGAGGCCATGAGGGAATAACAGACAGTGTTCCGCCTAAGAACCGGAGACATGAGTCAAGAGTGGGTTGTCGCTAAATGGACGCCCTGACCGGTATGGAAAAGTACCTGCGCTGAGCTCGCTACCCAAGAGGCCAAAAGGGTAAGGTCAAAGGTCTGCGCAGACGACAAATTCGCAAACGAACCGGAGGCTCCCACGCTCCTCAAACTCTGCCGTACATCGTCGAGGTGCACGCGGGTAGATGATAGAAGGTGACCTGGCGAGTTCGAACAAAAAGGTTTCATAGCCGAGTCAGGTTGCGGCGGACGAGTGGCCTTGGGACATCGCACCGGGCACGGGGGAGCAGAAGGCCGAGGAACCTGGCACATTACCGCGGACGGACGGGATGTTTGCGACGCGGCAATGGTGAACGGAGCTGTTGAACGAGAAC